GTTCATTTATGCATAAAAATACGTAAAAACAAAGTTTAAAAAGAAATTGAAAGGATCTCATGATCAGAATAATGTACAAGTTTTAATGTTTACAAGATATTAAGAACGATGGTTAACATAGAAATAAAGGTTAAAATAGTAAGTGACTATATAAGATTTAGACACTACTAAAAATGTCTATCTAGCCTCTTTTTAAAACTAAAAAAATAAACCACAAAGAACAAGAAGAACCTGACGATTCTTCTTCTATTCCCTGAAAATCCTTTTTCAAAGCAGCTTCAGATCTTGTTGTAGCAACAATCTCCATGTGGAACAGAGCAACGAGCTGCAGAGAAACACACACATCTCCCCCAGGTTCCTACACCTATGGACCTTACCACAGGGTCCGCGTTTCATTGGCTAATGCCCATTTGACGTCACTGCGCAGCTACCACGTGCTTGACCGTCTCACAAACAAAAGCTACAGTAGTAAACACATGCTAATGTACATTGTGGACTAGCAGACCACAATCTACACAAAGTTTTAGCGACAGAACTCGAATAAGAATGGTTCCCCACTGTCAGTGGGGAATCTGTACAGGCGATGTCAGGTATTCTGATCGTATTTGTGGAAATAAAATTCACAGATTTCCCAAATCTGATACGGAATGCCTGGCTTGGATCAAAGTTTGTGCACGACCGGATTTGCAGCTCAACCGTCGGATCAATAAAAACAAAGGAGTGTGTGCTGGTGTAAGTATTATTTGCTTTCTTTGTGTTTAGTGAATGGGGATATTTTGAGTGGCCCTGCGACAGACTGGCGACCTGTCCAGGGTGACCCCGCCTCTCGCCCGGTCTCACCGGAACGTTAGCTAGAGATAGGCACCAGCACCTCCCGATCCCTTTTGAATGCTGAAGCTTGAAATATTGTAAGGTCTTAAGGAGGCCTATAATGTGTGAACAATGACCCCCAAGTCTGAAAAAAGTCAATAATAAACATCCATTATGAAAACCTTTCAGCCACGTACAGCATGATGGCAGTACCGATACAACTTCTACACCTTGAAGCCTGTCTGTTACACAGTCTTACGTTAGCTGAACAGATCAATATGCAATGTGTACCGTATCTGACATGCATTAAAGATTTTATTTTACCTGAAAAGGCTTTTTACTAAACTGTAATCGTGTTAGCCACGCTAGCACCGAGTACCGAGTAACAGGCCTAGGCACACTCAAACATTTGCCAACAACAGAAATCACTGATTTCAAAAGTAACCCTCAAAACCATGAATGCCCGACTTTTTTTTTTTGTTAATGGAACCGAAACGCACTGAACACCTTGTTGAAACAATAATTACTGAGATTATTCATTTTAACACGTTTCGTTGATTTTTTATAATTATTCTTTTTTAATGAAGCTACAAACGTTTAGGATTTTAGTGAATATTTTTGATAAGCCAATCAGAAGAGGAAGAGCTGGTCTCAGCATCCTGGCGGCGATCAGTTTGTCACCTGCCAAGATCGACTCAAAACCTTTCCGCGATCAACCGGTTGATCGCAATCGACGTATTGGGCACCCATGATCTAGGGATGCATTTTTTTCATTGATATGACTTATCCTCTGAGGCGACTTATAGACTGGAAAATACATCATATTTATTGTGACAATTCAGTCAAGATGAACATTGATGATCACTAAAGCTTGCACTGCAAAAGCACAAAATCTTACCAAGTATTTTTGGTCTAGCTTCTGGTGAAAAGTGTAATATCTTAGTACACTTGAAATAAGATAAAGATATGGAAGTATTTTTTAAGTCAATAATTTCTTAACATTGATGAAAAAACTACTTGTTCCATTGGCAGATTGTTTCATTTATAACGTGGAAAGATATCTTCTTGTAAGTGAAATAATCTGCCAATGAAACACATACTTTTTCATCAATATTAAGGAATTTACTTAAAACAAACTCTTATTTCTTGCTGAAAAGTTACTTGTAAGTTAGTTTTGTCTTCTTAGACCAAAGTACTTGGCAATATCTTGTCTTTTTGCAATATGGACACCCAAGAACCTGTCCTGTACTCAAATCCAAATCCAGGATAAAGAGTTTCAGTGAAATTGGTGTTGAAGGTGTAGAGGTGGATCAGTGTCTCTGAAGAGACTCGGTAGAAGGACAGAGTCCCAGCAGGACAGTCCACATACACAGCCACTCGGCCAGAGACAGAAGAGAGAGGGATGAAGGCTTTTCTATGATTATGCCAAACAGTGTAACCATCATCTGAGCAAATTAGACTCCAGGACTGATCATTCAATCCAAACCAGGAATCGTCATTGTCTCCTTTTCTGTTGATTCCTCTGTAACTCAGCGATGCATAGACTTTCCCACTCCACTCAACCTCCCAGTAACAGCGACCAGTCAGACCATCAGTACACAGCAGCTGACAGAGATCAAATCTGTCTGGATGATCAGGATACGGCTGCTCCTCTCCCACAAGTGTCACTTTCCTGTTTCCGTCAGACAGTTTGAGCAATCTGTTCACAGTGTTTAGGTCGACTGTTAGTGGACAGGAATCTGAAAAACAGAACAAACACAATGCAGTTACTGATTGTTCTGAATTTACTGATACAATGATGAATGTCTATAAATGACACAATCTCTTATTAATTAAAAACACACTTACACTTCCTCAGACCTGGTGTCAGCCATTTCTCTGCTGCAGAATCCATGCTGTTAGAAAGAAGGTGTTTAAGACGATAGTACCATTTTTCAAGATGCAAACATGGACAGCCAAATTCAGACTTAAGAGTTTTTTGGGAGGTTTTCTTTTATCCATCACTGAGTTTCTGTCACCAATACCTAATTTTTTTTACTGATACTATCAGTTTAGTTCAGAACAGATGCCTGATTTTTCCTTCTAGTTTTGTGTTATGGCTGCTAAACCCAAGTGTTCAGATTTTTATTTTCAAATTAACATTCAATTAAATTCAGTTTATTTCTAGAGCGGCAATTCCTAACATGTCATCTCAAACCTATTGTGTACCATACCTATTATACACTATTACATGGTAATAAAAAAGATATTTCCCTACCTGAGAGAGTCCGTTTTAATCTGGATTCCTGAATTCTTAAGCATAGCTGCCAGTCTCTCCATTCCTGCCTCTCCTGGATTATTGTAGCTGAGGTCCAACTCCTTTAGGTGATGTGGCTTCACAGTCAGAGCTGAGGCAAGAGCAGCACAGCCTTCCTCTGTGATCAGGCAGCCTGAAAGCCTGCAGACACACAATATATTGTTGGACAAAAGCCATTTTGTTCAACAACAAAAGGCTTTGTTGTTTTACAGGTATGCTTCTCAATAGCATGCCTGTCAAATCTCCTGGCTTGGAAACTACTCTCATGATAATGCATGAGATTATGCATTATCATGGGCATGCAGATAATCTCATGCATGCCCATGCATAACTCTAATAAGTAAGAAAAATCTAATTTCTATTACTATGCTCACAATTATCTAATTGTGTGAATTTTTTTTCTAGGCTATATTGATTTGATTGACTAGTTGAACACTTAAATTTAGTAGTGAGGCTGTCTTCATTGCAACTCCCACTACAGCTAAGTCAGACAACTCAGCAAAGTTTGTGTTCAAAAGATGCACAAAATAGTTCACAAGAGCAAACTGAAAACATGTTTTAGACATTTTTGTAAATTTACTAAATATGTAAATGTAGGACAGTGCAGTAATATATGTCGGCACATGTCACCAAAATGTCACCAAAATGTTAGATCTGTTCTTTGGGTTGTGGAAGTTAGCGTAGTGTGTCCGTTGAAGAACGCCGTACTTGGTGTCTGTTACTGCGCTGGCGGTACAACGGTCAGTATTTGCTGTTAATTCTGAAGGTAAGAAATACTGACCGCCAGTTCCTCACTGTAGCCAAATGTTACGTTTAATGTCCAAGTAGTTAATTTTGTATCATTTTGTCTTTTTCTTTTTTAATATATGCTGTATCTGTAAACAAAAGAAAATAACTGCGTTAATGAGACTTATGTTGACAAGCAGTATTTGCTGTGAATTCTGAAGGCGAAGCCGCTGCGCTGTCGGGTGGTCCGAATAAACGATCTGAACCACGATCTCAACCGCCGTGTGTGTCTGATTCCTGCCTCAAGTTTCCTTCCATCAACAACCCATTAAAGAAAACACAACGCAGAGTCTAAGGAGCAGCGAGGTGTTATCTCACACGGAAAGGGTTACATAATCAATAGAAGAGTTTAAATGTATCTCACCTGAGAATCTCCAGTTTACAGTTTGGACTCATCAGTCCACTGCACAGCAGCTTCACTCCTGAATCTTTCAGGTCGTTGTTACTCAGGTCCAGATCTCTGAGACTAGATGTTGTTGAGCTGAGCAACGAAGACAGAGCTTCACAGCTTCTCTCTGAGAGGTTACACCCACTCAGTCTGAAAGGACAGAAGGGGTACAAAGTAATTGTCTCATTGTTAAGATTTTTTAAGTGTTTTTCTGAAATTAATTACATCTGTACTTACAGAGCTTTGTTAGAGACTTTGACTATTGGCAGCAGCCTCAGTAGAGCTTCCTCTGAAGCAGAGTATTTCTTCAGGTCAAACATCTCAAGGTCTTTCTCAGATGAAAGTAGCATAAAGTGCAGAGCTGACCACTGAGCAGGAGACAGCTGGTGGGCTGAAAGACTTCCTGTTTGTAGAGATTGTTGGATTTCCTCCACCAGAGACTGATCATTTAGTTCATTCAGGCAGTGGAACAGATTGATGCTTTTCTCAACACATAGATCATTATTCATCTTCTCCTTAATGTACTGGGCTGTGTTTTTATTAGCTGTTAAACTTTCTTCTGTTTGTGTCAAAAGGTCTCCTAAGTGACTCTTATTGGTCTCCAGTGAAAGACCAAGTAGGAAGCGGAGGAACAAGTCCAGGTGTCCATCTGGACTCTCTAGGGCCATGTCCACAGCACTCTGGTACATTTCTGTCTCTGAGGATTCAAGGTTTTGTTTTTCTAAATCCTTGGATTTCATTTCCAGCAGATTGACTCCAGATTTGATGAAGGTCAGATGAACATGAAGAGCAGCCAGAAACTCCTGAACACTCAGGTGGACGAAGCAGAACACCTTGTTCTGGTACAGCCCTCTCTCTTCTCTGAAGATCTGTGTGAAAACTCCTGAACACACTGAAGCTGCTCTGATATCGATGCCACACTCTGCCAGGTCTGATTCATAGAAGATCAGGTTTCTTTTCATCAGCTGTTCAAAAGCCAGTTTTCCCAGAGACTCGATCATCTTCTGGTTCTCTGGACTCCAGTGTGAATCTGTCTCAGTTCCTCCATCATACTTGATGACCTTCAGTTTGGTCTGCACCACCAGGAAGTGGATGTACATCTCAGTCAGGGTTTTTGGCAGATCTTCTCTATCTTCCTTGTTCAACATGTCTTCCACAACTGTAGCAGTGATCCAGCAGAAGATTGGGATGTGGCACATGATGTGGAGGCTTCTGGATTTCTTTATGTGGGAGATTACCATTCTGGCCTGCTTCTTCATTCTAAATCTTTTAGTGAAGTACTCGTCTTTCTGTGGGTCAGTGAATCCTCTGATCTCTGTCATCATGCCAACAAACCCAGCAGGGATCCGATTGGCTGCTGCAGGTCTTGTGGTTATCCAGAGGTGAGCTTTGGGAAGCAGTTTTCCTCTGATGAGGTTTGTCAGAAGAACATCCACTGAGGTGGACTTTGTTACATCTGTCAGGATCTCATTGTTGTGGAAGTCCAGTGAAAGTCGACTCTCATCCAAGCCATCAAAGATGAACACAACCTTTAACTCTTCAAACCTGGAGATTCCTTTGGTTTCACTAAAAAAGTGGTGAACAAGCTCCACCAAGCTGAACTGATTCTCTTTTAACAGATTCAGTTCTCTGAACGTGAATGGAAACATGAACTGGATGTCCTGGTTGGTTTGGTCTTCTGCCCAGTCCAGAGTGAACTTCTGAGTCAGGACTGTTTTCCCAATGCCAGCCACTCCCTTTGTCATCACTGTTCTGATTTGTTCATCTCTTCCAGATGAGGGTTTAAATATGTCTTCATGTCTGATTGTTGTTTCTGGTCTGTCTGGTTTCCAGGTCACTGATTCAATCTGTCTGACCTCATGTTCATCATTGACCTCTCCAGATTCTCCCTCTGTGATGTAGAGCTCTGTGTAGATCTGATTCAGAAAGGTTTGATTTCCTGATTTAGCGATTCCTTCAAAAACACACTGGAACTTTTTCTTCATGTTAGACTTTAGTGTTTGTTGACAGGTGATGAATGATTCTATGAAACAAAAATAGAAAATAATGCAATTTAAGAGTGATTTTGTCATGTTTTTGTGTGGGACTGAAACACAAAGAGCAATTGGAAATGAGTTTTGAAGTTTTAATACGAAAGTAAAAAGCAACTTATTGTCAAGGTTCAGGGTTTGGTGAGGTGAGATGAGACGCAGGCAGCCAGGATGAAGGTGAAAATGATGAATTTAATGATTCAGAGTCCACAGGAAAACAGACTTAGACGAGGGTGGGACACGACGGCACAGGGAAACAGTTACAAATGACGAGGATCTGACAACGAACACAGACAACAGGTGGGGCTAAATACACACA